ACACTTTGGTATTGGGTAAAAAAGAAAAGGGATTCGAAGCTAAACCAACTCGACTACAGTAATTATCAAGGCCGTTTAGTAAAAAGTTTATTTTGAAGTTCACAATAATGAAAAAGAATAATGCTGAGGTGAAACGAGTAAAAATGACAAAATTACTTACCGGTGCCGCTGCCCCTAATTCATCCTCGAAGTTTTCATCAAGCAGACCATCGGGAGTCATTCTTCCAGAAGCATAGATATCCGGATAGGAGTCATCTATTAGAAGCATGGGTAAAGAGAGGTCAGATTACTATTTACTAAAGGACATTATTATGAAGAAGTATGGCCTCATGATTGTGACACGAATTCAATATGAAATTGCATAAAAACTTAGATTAAATAAATCGCATCACCGGCCACCTCATTCATCCCCCGAAAATAAAATTCACTTCAACTAGTAGTGTAGTTAAATACAATCAGCTCCAATAAGTGTTTGTTTAACCTCGCTTTCGCGATTTGATCGGAGCGACAGAAACCTTTTGGAACGTACCTGCCACCTCTGCCACCATCTCTGCAACCTCTGCCATAGTATTCATGATAATTTCCAACATTGAAACATCAATCGAAAGTATGAAGACCAAGATGGTGTGGCCTTTTGTGTGGTCGCAGTCTCCTTTAGTTGTATAGAGGTTGTTTGACCTTGTTTTCGCAAATCGGTCATATTGGTAGGAAGACTTAGAGGAACGCACCTTCTTCGGAGTCCATTGTATGCATAATCATTTTCAAAGTCGGACCGTGGACGTGGTACATTCCCAGACGTTTCGCCGGCATCGTCAGTGAAATTTGTCATTCGTAGTACCATATTACAACTCATCAAAGAGACAAGTGAAGCCGATCCTTTGACCAAACGTGGGCTAACCAGTTATGGTATCTCCCCTTCTGCCCTGGCCTATTCACATTTCCTATATCCTCCTATCACGCCTTTACTGTCACAATTTTTTTCACTTGCTTAATTAAATGTGGTACGATATACTCTTTTGAGCGGCTTTCATGAGAACCCTCCGCATTCCACACTGGCCTTCACACACCCCTTCATCCTTGTGATGGGAATGTTGATCAGAGTCTGCTATATTGTTACGCAGTCCTCCTTCCATAGGTCTTACCACAGTCTCTATCTTGCCTCGTAGAATCCATCTGCGACCTCTCTGGTTCAAGTATTTCTCCCTATCTGCTACGCATCCTTTGCGGCTGGGTGACTAATTTGAGGCTAAAGCCTCTGAGTAAGTCTCATGGCCAGGCCTTTGCCGCATGAACCATGTCTCTTATAAAACCTACTTTCAGCCCACTAGCTCCCATCGCCGCCGCGTCTATCCTGTTTCTATCTCGAATACCAAGTCTATGACTTGC